TATTTGTGCGTCAGCTTTAAGAGTGGATGACATCATTAAGTTGGACCAAAATATTCCAGTCATTCTCTGTAAGTTGGAACAAGTATTTCCGCCTGGTTTTTTTGACTCCATGGAACATTTACCTGTGCATCTTGCATATGAGGCTTATCTAGGAGGACCTGTTCAATATAGGTGGATGTATCCATTTGAAAGTTTCATGGGTGATTCAAAGCGATCAGTGAAAAATAAAGCTAGAGTTGAAGGATCAATATGTGCACATTACTTGCATCGAGAAACTTCACATTTTTGCAGTCACTATTTCAAGCACTTGATGTTAACTCCAAGAATCATAAGGAATCCTGTAAATGTTATCGAAAGAAGTCAGTACACCTTATCAGTCTTCGGGCTTCCAGATCGTCCCTCTGGAAAGAAGGGTGAGCATTGGTTGACCCAACAAGAAATGCAATCTGCACATGTTCATGTCTTGATCAACTGCATTGAAGTTAAACCATATCTTGAGCAAGTATAATCCAACTTCTTAATTTTATTTATAGTGTGAATATAAAATTGATTACCTTGAAACTTATAGTGTGTTTCTTTTTAGGGAATTTAACAATGCCTATTTTGATAGTACCGGTGTACAATCAACATCTGGTGTCATTCATGCCCAATTTCCAACATGATTCAAGGAGAAATTGTATAGGGTTGTTGCACCGACTCCAGAAATACTCCATTTGAGAAACTTGTCTAATGGCCCTCGTCAAAGTGCAAACAAATGGCACACATACTTCGTGAATGGATATAAATTTCACACTCATGAATGGACTGAAGGGAAAAAAACCATAAACAGTGGCGTATTTGTGAAAGGAGTTACAGATGGTGGTGAAGATGACTTCTATGGTTTTGTTAAACATATCTACGAGTTAGTATACAATTACTTGGACTCGAAAAATAAAGTTGTCTTGTTTTATTGTGAATGGTATGATCCAACTAGAGGCACAAAAATAGATAAGACATATGATACTGTTGAGATTCAAATGGACCGGAGGTACAAAGAGTACGACCCTTTCATAATGTCAAATATTGTTAGGCAAGTTTATTATGTTCCTTATCCTTCATTTGTGCCACGTAAACGACGGTGTTGTGTTATAATAAAAACAAAACCATTGGGTCATATTGAAACTGGCGATCTAGTGGAGGATGTTGCTTACCAAGTTGATGAAGTTGAAGTTAATGATGTGATTTCAAATGAACACACTACAAGTTTGTCTGATACAATGGTTGAGGGGAATCAAGTTGATGGGGATGAAGATCATGAAGATTCTGGATCTGAGGATAATATCACATCAGATGACGAGGATGATATGGATGACGAGCATGACGATTTAGAATAGTGAACCTATATTAATGAGAATTGTGTCTTGTAATTTTACTTAACGAACCATTTATTGAATGATTTAATGAATATGTATTCATGAGAATTGTGTCTTATAATTTTACTTGACGAACCATCTATTGAATGAGTTAATGAATATGTATTCATGAGAATTGTGTCTTATAATTCAAATATATTATATGTTAACTTGTATTTTCTATAATTAGGTAAAAATGCCACCCAAAGATAATAAGGGTAAAGGTCCTAGTGATAGTGGTAGGAAGCCCAGGCGTCCAAGGGTAGTAGTATGCCAGTCACCTCACTCAGCCACGTGTCCTCCCCCGCAGAGTCAGGTTCATCATATGTCCATGGACAGTACTATTCCATTTACTCCATTACTATCATCTCAGAGTCCTCTTCAGTTCCCATATGGGAGTACATGTTTTATTAGTCCATTTGGGGCCCCACCTGGTTTACCATTCCAGCAGACACAGGTTCCCTCATCCTTCCAGCTGACACAGGTGCCCTCATCCTTCCAGCACAGTTTTCCATTTCCCACACAGATGCCCTCATTCGTGCAACAACCTGGAGGATCCAGCACCCCACTTCCTACACAGATGCCCCCATCCGTCCAACAGCCTGGAGGATCCACCTCTTCACGACCCACACAGACTGGTCGCACCCCCACATCCCACACAGAGTCAGATGATGACGATCTTGGTGTGGATGATGATCAGATAGATGGGAGAGATCTTCGAGGGGATGATGATCCGAGTGAGATTCATACCATTGATGGGAGATTTTGGATTTGGCCTGAAGGGAACTCGTAAGTTTCTTATTTATTGATTTTTATTTATAAGTACACATTTCCATTTTTAATATAACTTTATATAATTAATTATGATAATTCAATTATTGTTGTTTTAGTTTCAGGTCGAGCCAGACTGCTGCTAAGGTTATAAATCATATAATTCAGCAGAATTATACAAATTTTTTGAAGAGTTTTAGAGAAGTTTCCGATAAAGAAGAATGGTTCAAGCAATTTCAGGTATAATTAATTTATTTCTTAAGTTATTTTTATTTAAATGACCTTTTCATTATTTTTATAATTTATCTAACTATTTATTTTAATGTCATACAACATTTCAGTCGAAATGTGTTTGGGATCCCCTGAACCATAACAAAGTAAAAAAAATATTTTGGCAGGAGTTCAAGACGACTATATGACATGCTACGACGTGTTAGAGAGAATTGGCACCTTTTGGGCATTCGTCCCAAATGGATAGGCAAAGAAGTTTTTGAACAACTTCTTAAGTATTGGGAATCAGATGAATTTAAGGCTAAATCTGAAACTGCAAAGAAGATGAGGGCATCGGAAAAAGGGGGTTGCCTTAATGCTGTTGGAAGTATTAGTACTGCTGAGCATGCTCGACGCATGGTAATTATTACCACTTTTTAAAGTAATATTTGGATTTATAACATATTATTAATTTAAGTTAATTTTTTTATTTAGGCTAAGCGTTTGGGGAGACAACCATTGATGACTGAGTTGGTTAAGGAAACTCGGACAAAGAAATCGGGAGGATTTATTGACGAGCGCACAAAAAAAGCCCTGGTAAGTAAATTTATGTTTATATATATATTTTTAAGCAATTTTGTGACGTGATTTTCATGTAGCAAGTGACACGTTGTGGCGTGAAAATTGAGTGGCAACTGATAAGTTGTGGCGTTACAATCACGTGGCTATTTGTTTTTTATTTTTTTTTATTTCATTTAATTTCATTAATGTTACTTATAAATTTAACTTGATTTTTTTATTGTATGTGTAGGAGGATTATCAGGCCTTGCTTGTAGAATTTCTGACCCATAATCCTCAGTATACTCCTCCTCCAGAAAAACCGGTTCATCCAGATGTGGATTTCTATATTTGGAGTCAAGTTGTTGGGGGAAAGGGACCTAACGAGTGTTTTTTTGGTGGTGGAAATTTGGCGGGCACCTTGAGGAGTGGGGATAGAAATCTGTATCAGAGAGCTATAGACGGTGGAGGGTCACGTCAAACAAATTTGACACCAGATCAGTTAGAACTGGTAAGACAATTGGCTAGACGCGAGTCTGAAGATCGTGAGGCGGCATTGAAGGCCCAAATGGAGGCCCAAATGGAGGCAATGAGGGGTGAACATAATAGACAAATTGAGGCAATGGCGAAGAGGCAGGCTGATATGGAGGAGCAAATGCGACAATTTATGCAAGCATTTGGTAGAAATCCCAACAGTGGTGGTCAAAATAATAACCACCAAAATAATGATGACTTTCTTCCCGACTTTTCCGACGACTCGAATGATTCTGCTTAGTTTTATTTTTATTTTGTATTTAGTTTTTTATTTGTGTAATATAAATTTATAATCATATTGTATATTTAAAAATATTATAAATTTAAATTTGAGTTTATTAAATTTATAATATTAAGTATATTTATTTATACATTTAGATATATTTAGTTTTGTTTTTGATAATTTGATTTATAATATTGTATTTAATAAATAAATTATAATATTTAATTTATAAATTTAATAAAACAAAAAATAATATTAATTATTATAATAGAATTAATATATTTAAAACACAAATATATATTTATTTTTTTAAAACAAGTTGCGGCGTGTTTTTCATGTCACTAATTAGTGACGTGAAAAACACACCGCAACAGCAAACGTAAAGATAAATATAAACTTCTTGCTCTGCTCTGAACACTTTCATCCTATAAAGTCTGTTGCGGCGTGAATTTCACGTGGCAACGTTGTGACATGCTTTTCACGCCGCAACAAGATTGTCACGCGCTATACAGCGACGTGTTTCTTAAGATGGCAAAAGTTGAATAGTGGCGTGATTTGGGTGTTAGCGACGTGACTTTCACGTGGCAAAACACAAGTTATTTTGTAGTGAGGTAACCATTAACACGACACATTATACCAACAATCATTTAATTTAAATAATATATATATATATATATATATATATATATATATATATATATATATATATATATATATATATATAATATTTATATTATTAATTCAAATAATACAATCATTTAATTTAATATTATTTTGGAAATTCTCTTAAAGATTATTAAGGTGAGAAGGACAAATATTATAGTTATTTGTTAGTAGTATCGAAAGTCTTTCATCATTAGTCAGAAATCATTCATAAACAATTTTTCACATAAAAGCTCTATGACCATTGCAATCACTTGCCTTTTGAAGTCCCCACTGCCATTTCACTCGAAACTCTCTCTAATCATTTGTAAACAAAATGGAGAGAATATCCATGTAACACACGAGAACCGTTCACCTCCACCGAACATTCCATCTCACTAATAACACAGTGATCTTTCTTTCAAGCATTTACAAAAGAAATTACTAGTTACTAGCTAATAACACCATTGGACAATGATGCAAATTGAACAACACAATAAAACTACCCTTCATTTTCTAAATTGCTCATAATAGCAATGTTGGTGCTCTAGTATTAACAACGGGTAACTTGATAACAAATATGAATTATCATATATGTCAAGATCTAGCAGCAAGTGGCCATCTCCAAGTTGTAAAGCCTCAAAAAGTCCCTTAAATTCACACTTTAATTATCACGCTTCTTTGAAGTAATGAGTTGGCACCTCTGGCGGAGAAGGCAAATTGGCCACACATTTGAACTGTTCCAAACAATGATTTCAAGTCAATCAACTTGTAGTATTAAGAATTAACTATAACAAAAGAAAACATCAAAAAAATCAAAATAATCACCTTTTTCAGATTGAATTTATTGCGAAGAGTTTTCAAGTAAGCTTCCCTTCTTGAGAAATACAAGTCATGTAAAATAACAACACATTCCTTCAACTCAGATGACTTGTAACCCAAGCTTTCACACAACAATGGCGTCTGCATTAGATTTTACACATTAAATACGTCGAAAACTTATGACTTTTAATGAATCAAATTGATTAATGACATAACATAACATATTTACCCAAGGATGTACTTCTGGTTGGATAATAAATCTAGCGAGAAATATAACCGACGCAGCCACAACAGAAGGCAAGAATCTTATACACTCATACTCCAACAAGCTTAGATCAGCAAGATAGTTGCACAGATATTCAAACTGTAAATTAGAATTCTGAAATCAAAAACAAAAAAACAACAATTAATAAATACATTAAAAGCTTTTGACATCACCAACTAATAAAAAAACACAGTTCAACTTACCTTTTGATTCCCATTAGCAAGTCCAATAAACCTCCTGATATAATTATGAACAAAACAAATACAAATAAACATAATCAGTCCAATTAACTTATTTCAACAAGCTTTAGACATTCAGATTGTTACAATTAAAAAAATGTGCTTACTTTAGAAATGTGGTAACATTAGGGTTTCCTACTTCATAATTTAGTGACTTGAGTATGTGAGCCTCCATCTTTAAAACCTAAAGTAACACCAACATACATGAGAAAGAGAAACAACAACAACTTTTACCATAATATTTTATTCAAATCGTTAATCTCGAGATCTTTCTTAATAATTTTTATTATAATTCAAGATAAGAGAAAAGAAAATGATAAATACCTCTGAATGGTGATAAGCGTTCTCAGTGATTTTGCAGAAAGCCACCGCCTTTGGAGGTGTGATTTCTTCGTACTTTCTACATATAAAAAACGCGTCAAAAATTGTGCGATGATGCTTAAGAAAATAACTTGGCAACATTTATAAATAACTAAATTAAAACAGTTGTTTGAGGGCTTACGAAGCAATGAACATAGACGAAACACCAAGCAACGCAAGATATATTTCAGGAACAGATTGTAGAGATAAGAATCTGTCAATGTAGGAGATACATAGATGAAGGGTTTCAGGAAGAAGCTTGTGCTCGTCTGCAACCTTCATTAACCAATCCACCAATGTTCCCCTCATGTTTATAGTAACCTCTTTCTGAGCATCCTCAATGTAGCCAACAATTGGTCTTCGCTTTTTCTGCGAGTGAGATATTAAGCAAGGTAAGAATTTAAATATCATGAGAGTGCCAATTCGAATGAAATAAAAATGTATTACTATTACCTCCATTGTACGATGATGATGATCGATGTCGGATACATAAGGTTCAATGATCAGTTGGTGGTCGCATTTGACATTAGTTTTGTTATAAACACGAAAATTGAGGTTTGGAATTTTGGAAAAAGCTACCCTCTGTCGTTTTGGAACAACGAGTTGTGACTTTTGATCGGTGTTAGCTCTCTTCTTTGAGGCACGAGTCTCCATCATCTTTGTTTGTGAAGTTAAGTGTTGTTATCAAACTGAGCTTCTTGTTTTATAGTGATGTAACAGAGTTTTAGTTTTTCATGGAGCTGATTCTGTTTTTCAGTTTAGAATTGGCCGGAATTAGATTTGATTTCTTTTTTTGCGGGTTTTGGATTTGTTTCTTTTTTGGATTTGAACGTGATGTTGTTGTTGAACTTCACATTAAATAAACTAGTAAAATATGTATGTTGACTTATTTATGCAAGTCCAAAAACGTTGACTGTTTTTTTCTAAAAATTTATGATTTCTTTTACCATAAATAAATAATTTTATTGATTAGGCTTTAAGTCAAACATTAGATCGGCTTTTGCACATAATTGATTTTAATAAAATTAAGTTTGATAGAATTGATTTTATCAGAATTGAGTTTAGCAGAATTAGTTTATCTTTAAATACATTTATGTAAAAGTGACACTACAACAAAACTCACTTTTGGCAGCACTGCAAAGACAACGCTTTTACCAAAAAGCGCTGCTATAGCCTTTACTTAAAAATTCGCTAAAAATGCATTGACTTATGACAACGCTTTCTTGAAAAGCGCTGCTAAAAGGTGGAGTTACGAAAGCGCTTTTAAAAAGCGCTGTTATAGATGGACCTATGAAAGCGCTTTTAAAAGCGCTATTATAGCTGGACCTATGAAAGCGCTTTTACCCTAAAAAGCGTTGGTAAAAGCCCCCCTATGAAAGCGCTTTCAAAAGCGCTGTTATAGCTTATATTATTTTTAATTTAATAAATTAAAACATCAAAATAACATTATTCATTCTTTTCTCTTCTTCAAACGCACAGTACAATAGCTCTTCTTCTCTTCCACAAACACGATTTCGTAGAAAACCCTAACCCCAACCTTCTTCCTCCGTCTTCGTCCGTCCTCCGGCCGTCGTCGCAAGTCTTCGTCTTCCTCCGTGAAACTGTCTCTGTCTTCGTCCGTCCTCACTGTCGTCGCAAGTCTTCGTCTTCCTCCGTGAAACTGTCTTCGTCTTCGTCTACTTCCTCAAAGAATACAGAGTAAGTTCATTTACTCAGATTTTTTGTTAATGCAACTATTAGAACTAGGTACTGGAAGTAGCTATTGTTTTTTTTTTTGTTCTATTAAAATGTATATTGTCTGGTGTTGGAAGGGAGAACACTGTTGAACATTGTGTTCATTCTCATCATTGATAAACTTCATCTAGGTTCAGTTTTATCATATTTCAAATTATGGTTCATTGGTTATTTGTTTTTGTTTTTGTTTTCTTCAAGAACACAAGTTCAATAGCATAAGCACAATGCCTTTAATTGATCGTAGCTGATGGAATTTAGAACAATGCTTGTTTTTTCTGTTAGTCTAGAGAACCTAACAAATATCAATTTACATAGGATTTAATTTATCAATGCCTTTGACAACAAAGCAAACAGGATAATCAAGAGATGCAAGTATACTGTATACAATTTCATAAACAAAGAGTCTGAAGTTTGCAATCACTAACCTTGCTTTCTCTAATTTTTCAACCACATCACGCATAGCATGGATGATAATTTTCTTCACCTGATACCAAAGAAGCAGCCATCAGGAAAAAAAAACAGTACACAAAATCCCAATAAGAAACTGTTAACAATATGATATGAAATAGGAGAATAGAATTGAAATAGGTTGATGATCAAGATTTTAAACATTCAACAAGGATTGAAACAATCAATTTAGAAGTTAGAACCTTACTAGTATTACTGATTTGTAAGCATACTCACTTGCCCTCGAATGTGTGAGAATATATATACGAAAAGAATCTTACATTACTCTACTATTAATGTTAGAATATCTTAGTTTATCTCATAGGATCAGTTTCTTACATTGGGGTATTTGTTTTCTACAGTTTGGCTACAACCTTCAGTTTTAATTCATAGGATCAAGTTCATTGTATTTGTTTTCAACAGTTTTACTATTTGTTTTTTACAATTTGGCTACAACAAAATTCTATTTAAGATCAGGATCATTGGGGTGAGTAAGATTGCAAAATAATAAGATTTTAAGATATAGATTGAGATCTTGACAACCTTGATTAAAACACTTTTCTGTATAGAACGGTCCCTCAAGACAGTTAACTAAATCGATTCAATATAACTAGCTTATCTCCCTCAATGCTCAGTCTAGCTCAATAAATATTAACCTTTTTATATTGATATCTTTATTTTCTTTTGTGGTAGATTTCTTACTGGAAACCTTCTCACTGGACCAATACCGCCTACTTGGAGGAAGAATACCTACGTGTGAGTTATCTTAGAATTTTTTGTTATAAGTGAATGTTGGTCTAAGGTTATTTCACGCACTTTTGTATCATCGACATGACTATAGTGTAGACTAATGTAGTTTTACGTACGACGCTCATTCTCCGCGTTTCTTAGAGTTCGAAACATCTGAGAGGTAACTTTCTCCGATTGAAGAAATTCGAACTGTCCTTGATCGTAGTGTACGCGGGACGCTCTCAACATTTTCAAAGGTTTCTATCCTATTCTTGAACTGACTTGAATCACTGATTGTTTTTACTTTTATTTTCCGGCTCAGTGTGAATTTCTAATGATTATAGTTGAGTGGAATTCATGAGCTGCGGTTGTGTTTTTGTTTATATTTAGACTGTTATGGCAGTATAGGGCTGTATATGGCAGTATGGCAGTATTGATAGCATTGAAACGAGCACGTTTCAGGGATTCATCAAACATCAATGAAAATCTTAAACACAATGAACCATGCAACACATTAGTTAGCGTGTAGATGTTAGAATTTAGGACTATAGGACTATACCAAAAATATCTGACGGGATTTTTCCGTTGCTAAATCTTCCGGTTGCTTCTCCTCCGATGAAATCTTTACCGTAAGGTTTGAAATCCGACTTCACTATTGTTTGAATATAATTGTTATTACCTGTATCCAAGACTGAATCACTAGTATCCGACTTCACTAGTTAGTAATTAGTTATGAGTTGTTTAGCACATGCTTAAGGTGAGGCAAGAATAACTATGAATTTGATTACCTGATATGTTGAATTTCTTTACAGGTAATTAATTATTATTTTGCTATAGTTGCGTGACTAATTAGTTGCTATAGTCAAACCATGGATAAAAAATGGATGACTGCCAATCGATTGTCGAAAGAGTATGAGGATGGGGTATCAGAATTCGTTAAGTTTGCTGTTGCGCACGCCAGAGAACCCAATGGAATGATATGTCCTTGCTTGAGATGCTGTTATGGGAGACGGGTTGACGCGGTTCAGTTGGAATCGCATTTACTGATGCATGGAATTGATAGAAGTTATGCATGTTGGAATTTGCATGGTGAGAAAAGTAGCGGGAATTTTGAATCGAGTTATAATACGACGTATGCTTCAAATGAGGATTTCGCAGACGCATACGATTATGATCGAGTCGAAGAGATTGCAGAAGCGCTTGAAGAAGATCTTGAGGATTGTCCCAAAATGTTCGAGAGGTTGGTAAGCGATGCAGAGAAACCGTTGTATGATGGTTGTACAAAATTCACAAGATTGTCTGTGGTGTTAAAGTTGTACAACTTAAAGGCGGACAACGGATGGTCGGATAAAAGTTTCACACAGTTATTAGCCCTCGTGAAAGAAATGCTACCAGAGGATAATGTTCTTCCCAATCGAACGTATGAGGCCAAAAAGATGTTGTCCTCTATTGGCATGAGCTATGAAAAGATACATGCATGTCCAAAAGATTGCGTTTTATTTCGAAACGAGTACGCAGTGTTAAATGAGTGTCCTAAATGCGGTGCCCCTCGATATAAGGAAAAGTTGTCTCCGGAAAAGGTGTTATGGTATTTTCCTATAATTCCGAGATTTAGGCGCATGTATCGTAGTGAGACCGATTCAAGACACTTGACTTGGCATGCAGATGAAAGAATTATTGATGGGAAGTTGCGACATCCGGCAGACTCACCACAGTGGACGAAAGTTGATATTGATTATCCTGAATTTGGAAAAGAAGCAAGAAATCTTCGCTTGTCGTTGTCTACTGATGGAATGAACCCGCATGGTATTCAAAGTATCTCGCATAGCACCTGGCCTGTGATTCTTATGATATATAACCTACCTCCGTGGCTATGTATGAAGCGTAAGTACATGATGCTATCTATGTTAATTTCTGGGCCCAAACAACCAGGGAATGACATAGACGTGTACTTGGCACCCTTAGTCGAAGATTTGAAGTTTTTGTGGGAGACCGGTGTGGAGGTTTACGATGGGTATAGGAAAGAAAGTTTCAACTTGAGGGCGATGTTGTTTGGAACAATTAATGATTTTCCGGCGTACGGAAATCTATCAGGGTACAGCATTAAGGGTCAAAAAGCGTGTCCTGTTTGTGAAGATGAAACCGATACGATGCGATTGAACTTTTGTCAGAAGAATGTTTTTCTCGGTCATCGTAGATTCTTAAATTCTAATCATCACTATCGTGGGTGGAGAAAGGCATTCAATGGAGAGGCAGAACACGGTAGAGCTCCACATATGTTGACAGGTGATCAGATTTTTGAAAAGGTGAAAGATGTGAGTACTGAGTTTGGCAAGCCTTTTGCACATAGACTTGTCACGAGTGGGTGGAAGAAGAGGTCGATTTTTTTTGAACTTCCATATTGGAAGTCGTTGTACGTAAGACATTTCCTCGATGTTATGCATATTGAAAAAAATGTATTTGATAGTGTTATTGGTACGTTACTCAATATACAAGGAAAGTCTAAGGATGGCATTAACATAAGGAAGGACATGTTAAACATGGGAATTAGAACTGAATTGGCACCCGTGACGAAAGGAAGACGCACATATCTACCACCTGCTGTTTACACTCTATCTAGAAAGGAGAAGAAAATATTGTGTAAGTTCCTCAGTGAAGTTAAAGTTCCAGAAGGCTACTCATCAGATATTAGAAGACTTGTGTCAATGAAAGACCTAAAGTTAAAGAGTTTAAAGACTCATGAT